CATCTGACACAGGATCTCATATACGCCTGTAACTACACTTGATACAAGTGCCAACACACATCTGATATTACATCTGACACAAGATATCATACAAGTCTGAAACTACATCTAAGACAAGACCTCATATCAATCTGTTACTACATCTGACACAAGATCTGACGGAGGTCTGAAGCTATACATTTGATCTGACACAAGATCTCACAGAGGTCTGAAGCTATACATTTGATCTGACACAAGATCTCACAGAGGTCTGAAGCTATATATTTGATCTGACACAAGATCTTTCACACATGATTGACAAAAGATCTCACAAACATCAGAAACTACACCCGACACAATATCTCACACACGTCTCGTATTACACATCTTACAGGATATCTTACAAATGAAGATATCAACCTCATATAAGGTTGTCAATAGTAGTTTTGGTACACTCCTTAGTATTACTCATTTTCTTTCACAAGAACACAATTAACTCATTTATGATCAAACATGCTTTCATAAAACAGTAGATAGAGAAATACCAAATATACCAAATCATAGTTCTATATTTCTATCTAATCATTATACAGTCACGTACCAAATCATAGCTCTATATCTCTATCTAATCATTATACAGCCACGTACCAAATCATAGTTCTATATCTCTAATCATTATACAGTCACTTACCAAATCATAGTTCTATATTTCTATCTAATCATTATACAGTCACGTACCAAATCATAGTTCTATATCTCTATCTAATCATTATACAGTCACGTACCAAATCATAGTTCTATATCTCTATCTAATCATTATACAGTCACGTACCAAATCATAGTTCTATATCTCTATCTAATCATTATACAGTCACGTACCAAATCATAGTTCTATATCTCTATCTAATCATTATACAGTCACGTACCAAATCATAGTTCTATATCTAATCATTATACAGTCACGTACCAAATCAAGTCACATACCAAATCATAGTTCTATATATCTCTCTCATCATTATACAGTCAAATCATAGTTCTATATCTCTATCTAATCATTATACAGTCACGTCAAATCATATCTCTATCTCTAATCCTTATACAGTCACGTACCAAATCATAGTTCTATATCTCTAATCATTATACAGTCACGTACCAAATCATAGTTCTATATCTCTAATCATTATACAGTCACGTACCAAATCATAGTTCATTATCTCTATCTAATCAATATCTATATCACACACGTACCAAATCATAGTTCTATATCTCATTATCGTACCAAATCATCTATACATCTAATCATTATACAGTCACGTACCAAATCATAGTTCAAATATATCTCTATCTAATCATTATACAGTCACGTACCAAATCATAGTTCTATATCTCTATCTAATCATTATACAGTCACGTACCAAATCATAGTTCTATATCTCTATCTAATCATTATACAGTCACGTACCAAATCATAGTTCTATATCTCTAATCATTATACAGTCACATACCAAATCATAGTTCTATATATCTCTCTCATCATTATACAGTCACGTACCAAATCATAGTTCTATATCTCTATCTAATCATTATACAGTACCAAATCATAGTTCACGTACCAAATCATAGTAATCATTATATACCAAATCATATTCTTCTATTAATCATTATACAGATACTATCTAATCACATTACCAAATCATAGTTCTATATCTCTATCTAATCATTATACAGTCACGTACCAAATCATTTCTATATCTCTAAATCATTATACAGTCACGTACCAAATCATAGTTCTATATCTATCTAATCATTATACAGTCACGTACCAAATCATAGTTCATTATCTCTATCTAATCATTATACAGTCACGTACCAAATCATAGTTCTATATCTCTATCTAATCATTATACAGTCACGTACCAAATCATAGTTCTATATCTCTAATAATTATACAGTCACGTACCAAAACATAGTTCTATATCTCTATCTAATCATTATACAGTTCTATATCTCTATCTAATCATTATCACGTACCAAATCATAGTTCTATATCAAATCATAGTTCTATCTAATCATTATACAGTACCACGTTCTATACCAAATCATAGTTCTATATCTCTAATCATTATACAGTCACGTACCAAATCATAGTTCTATATTTCTATCTAATCATTATACAGTCACGTACCAAATCATAGTTCTATATTTCTATCTAATCATTATACAGTCACGTACCAAATCATAGTCCATCATTATCTATATATCTCTATCTAATCATTATACAGTCACGTACCAAATCATAGTTCTATATCTCTATCTAATCATTATATCATAGTTCTATCACAGTCACGTACCAAATCATAGTTCTATATCTCTATCTAATCATTATACAGTCACGTACCAAATCATAGTTCTATATCTCTAATCATTATACAGCCACGTACCAAATCATAGTTCTATATCTCTATCTAATCATTATACAGTCACGTACCAAATCATAGTTCTATATCTCTATCTAATCATTATACACGTCATAGTTCTATATACTAATCAAATACCAAATCATAGTTCTATATCTCTATCTAATCATTATACAGTCACGTACCAAATCCATCATTATACATCACGTACCAAATCATAGTTCTATATCTCTATCTAATCATTATACAGTCACGTACCAAATCATAGTTCTATATCTCTATCTAATCATTATACAGTCACGTACCAAATCATAGTTCTATATCTCTAATCATTATACAGTCACGTACCAAATCATAGTTCTATATCTCTATCTAATCATTATACAGTCACGTACCAAATCATAGTTCTATATCTCTATCTAATCATTATACAGCCACATACCAAATCATAGTTCTATATCTCTGGTAAATGATGTTCTTGCTATCTGTGGTAATGTCTTTTGTACATAGTTTACAACCCAGATCAAAGATCTACAGACATTGCTCCAATTTTATTTGAGAAACTTTAACACAGAGTTCTTATATAGATTTGACTAGTAAACTTTTCAGTGGTTATCTTATCTTCGAGCTTTTCGAGACAAAACATTTGTTTTACTTATTGCAGAGTCTGTATGTTGTTCATATAACAATCATCGTACATGAGTTGACCATTGGTGTAGTTTGGTAAAAAGCGACAAAATAAGTATTTATGCCCCCGAATCAAAGGATTGGGTCAGATTGTTTTTGTGCTATCATTGTTTTGTTTTAAATTTTTTTCTTGTAAACTATCGCTTTGACCATACCTATCACACCGTAATAAGTAGGGCTTTCATACCTGGCACGCGTGTTCCTTGTGACAAGACCTTTATCAGCTTCGATTTCATACAATCTGTAGACAGATCTCCCATTTTATTTTAGAATCATCACCTTTAACAAGAAAGAACTTTCAGTACATTTGCTACACTAGATATCATCCATCCATATCAGATTTATCTTCTCAATGTTTAGGTCAAAAACCAAAGAGCCATTAACAACACTCGGTTAACAAAATCAAATGACGTGTGTAGTTTTTTACACTTCCCATATAGCCAATTATTCTTCCCTCAGACGTAGATCTTATTTAAAGTTTTATGTTCGTCAGGGAGATCTCATTGAGAAATATTTTATTTCTTTGTGTGATCTAAAGCTGGACGAAATCGATGCTCATTAGTTTGCCTGTTGGTTCCGTTTTGTAGACCTTGTTCTCAGCTGAGAACGTAGCATTACTTGCTTGAATTGACCATGGATGGTTTACATAGCAAATGTTGTCGATGAAGCAGAAGACGCTTACTTTTCCGGAACATCTGGTCTGGTTCTACTTTGTGTTAATATTTTCCCTAGTTTTATGGCATATGAGATGGGATTATGATTATGTTGTTATGTTGGTATTTTCTTGACGTTTTTGCACTGAGAAAACATTGTGTTTTATGATACAACAATACCTAAAAGTCTATTTTTAGAATAGAAATTCTCACAACAAAACCAGTAGAAGATTTGAGGGTGACGTTTCGATGACAACACGGTCATCTTCATCACTTATCATTGTGGAGCGTACTAGCACTGACGCACATAGTGTACGAGATGGCAATGAACTTTTTCGGCTGTACTACAATCCAATGTACGCTAAAACGGAAATAAACAGATCGTGGAAAAATACAAAATTGGTACAATGGATAGTAGTCGATTCGGTTATGCTTTGTTTAACACCTGGTCATAGATGTGCGAGAGATGGCATTGGAATAAATCAAGAAAGGGTCACAGAAGGATTTGAGTGCGCTTATCAAAACCGCAGATACCACTAAACACCTTCAAGATAATCGTGTTGGTGACGTCAACATATCTCAAGCGCCAATGGCAATACACTATTTCAATAGTCCTTTAATCTGTTTTATGAAGTAACTTCCTTTAAAATTACTGATTTGATTGTTGATGTTGAACCACAAGTTTGTAAATTAATCCAGGATAAGTTTATGTTACTCGAAATAGATTTAACCGGAAATAGTTAAATCTAGAACAAACAATGGACCACCCTTGCACAGATTTAAAACTGGATGACAGTGTTTGCTTTTAGGTCATGTCAGATTGGTAACAGATTTTACCGGCAACTATGTTATTGAAGGGATAAGTATTCGTTAATTATTATTTTTGTTAAATCATGATGGAACAGAAATATTCTATAGTATATAAACAAAGTGGCCAGCGAGTAGATTAACTCACTAAACGTCAGTGTTTCGACAGAGATAGTCCGCCGACACCGCGTGACCCACGCGTATCTAAGATAAGGACAACTAATATATACTATAACTGCTGATTTACAAACCAACAGCTGCACAGTCAAGGTACGTTTTAAATGAAAATCTACATATATATCTCGTTTAATGCACTGAAATTGTCGGACAAAATTACAGTTGTATAGAAACTTGCTGAAAATTTCCTATCTGGCTATATCAACACGATTTCTTGCAATTACAGCATGTATTCCCGTTCTTTAACGGTCTCCTTAATTACCTTTCGATTTTGTTTCAGATGAAGACATTTTTTCTATATTCATTGACATGTCTGACAGTGGCGACAGTGAGTGGAACCTTTGAATGTTTCTGTAACTTTTTACATCCGGAGTATTATGTATTACCGTGTCCTGACCTACACCATCGTCCTATTGGTACCATAGATATGCCGGACCATGTCCTGAATCATTTCTACGCTTATGACCTTAATGATCGATATTGCAAGGCCAGATTGTCCGGAGTACAGGCACCACCAGGGTTCGAGCCCATTCTACATTACGGACAGGTAATCAGATATATAGATATGTCACGCGCATCAACCCCAGTAGTAGGAATGGAATATCTCATTGTCTATAACTTTCGTTTTGAAGTTGAAAAAAAAACTTTTTACTGTTTTAGAAAAAATGTTTCGATTTGATGGAACATCCTCCTTTTCTTGTTCTGATAACATTTTTATCAAAGAGATATGATTGGTGGTACAAATACGTTGTTGTGGACTGTACTGAAGCTAATTTCGTGAAAAAAACGCCCGAATCACAAAAAAGAATGTACAGAGGACGAAATCGTAAAAATAATAAAATCTATCAAAAGTCTTTCAATTTCAGTTTCAGATATATTTATTATTTTTTTTTTTAATTTTTAATATAGAACGAAAATGAGGTATCGTTTGTGCAAGCAAAATTAGAAACTAGGACACGACCGATTCTGCTGACCTTGATACTCTCCCACAATAGGAACAGAAACAGCCTTCTATCATTTCTGTTTAGTTATAATATCACTTCCCTCATCCCATGTTTTTTGCATGCCGCAGTTGATTCGATATCCAAAGGTTTATTCCAAATATCATGATTTTCTTGCATGATGTCGATAACTGTCAGACAAACTCGCAAGGCGGTCTCAAGATGTGGAGGTTAACGACAATAAGCAAGATTTTCTTACGGTTGTCATATGATCACATTGGAATTATTTTAATTTTATGTGCGATGTGAAGTTCTCGCTTTAGGTAGTGACATAATATAGTTTGGGTGACCAAACATGGCGTCGTCAATGAAGCAGAAAACGCTTACTCTTCCAGAACGCCTGGTCTTATTATCCTTGTACCTGTTCAGGGGTATCAGTTTATTTTTTTCCTTTTGCTCATTGTTTGACGGAATTTGAGTGTCAATCGAAATTTTGATATCGGAATTTATTGTCCTAGGTGTTTATCTCAATATCACGAACGCTATATTGATATAATGATTTCCTGAATGAAGCAAGCTTGTTATTTTTATTTTTACAGTTAGCTTACCTGAGAGTAGACGCCGGATTCAGAGTAAACAGGTGTACTGGAACGGTAATTTTCAACAGAGGTAAGCAATGTACAAGTACCAAACACAATATACAGGTAGAAAATATAGCATACACAACATACAGGTAGATAATTTATCATACATAACATACAGGTAGATAATATATCATACATAACATACAGGTAGATAATATATCATACATAACATACAGGTAGATAATATATCATACACAACATACAGGTAGATAATATATCATACACAACATACAGGTAGATAATATAACATACATTACATACAGGTAGATAATATATCATACACAACATACAGGTAGATAATATATCATACATAACATACAGGTAGATAATATATCATACACATCATACAGGTAGATAATATATCATACACAACATACAGGTAGATAATATATCATACACAACATACAGGTAGATAATATATCATACACATCATACAGGTAGATAATATATCATACACAACATACAGGTAGATAATTTATCATACACAACATACAGGTAGAAAATATAGCATACATAACATAACACAAGATGAAAAAAAATGTTGTCTATATTTGTATGACATCATAAATAAAGCTTGTATTTATGATGCGACATATATGTATTTGTTTGACGTATAAATATACAATTCGAAAAACAACTGTGTACCGTGAAATTTCACTAAATATCGTTTTTGTATCATGCTGGTGATTTTTCTTTACTTCATATCTTATTGTTTCAGGACATCTCAACATGTCCAGCAGTTGTCAGCATAATATCATGGGACCAATAGGTAAGTATTAAAGCGACACGGTTTGTGAGACTTTGTAGCATTATTTTATACAATGCCCAGTAGTTTGTAGGTATTAAAGCGACACCGTTTGTAGGAGTTTTTATCATTACTGTATACAATGTCCAGTAGTTGGTAGGTATTAAAGCGACAAGGTTTGTAAAACTTTGTATCATTATTGTATACCTTGTCTAATATTTGGTAGGTATTAAACAACGCGGTTTGTGAGACTTTTATCATCATAAAGATAACTTTATGATAGTGCATAGCACACGAGTAAACTGCACCTTTCAATACAAATTTAGAATTAAATTAAACAAAAAAACAAAACAAAAATACAGAATGAAAATATATTTATATCGGACATATTTGTCTGCTCGTCCAGATTATTTTTCATCCTTCGATGACTATCGTTCCTATTTTTATCAACATGTTTTGAGCAAATGAGTTTTAAAATATTATACTGTTTGTAGGTTTAGTGAACCAAGGTCCCACCACACCACTTGCTACATCACCAAAACCCGTGCAAACAACAGCAGCTCCAGTGCAACACCATCCGGGACAATGGCACACGTTTGCTCCGCCTGTGGTCACTACCCAGAAACCATCTGCCCATTGGATACCACTCGTAGGAGGTGAGTTTACCAGGTATAACATTGAACACTACGTTCATATACTGCAGAGCTGCTAATTTTTGTGAGTCAATATTTTCGCGTTTTATTTTAAAACGATCGAATTATATTTCAACGAATTAAAATCTCGCGATCTTGATGTAAACGGCCATCTATAGATACATGCCTCATGATTTCGTGGGTGATATTTTCGTGATCATTTCAGTGTACCGCGAAATAACGAAAACATCATTTACAAAAATAACGGGCAATACAGTAACATATAATCATTAGATTGGTGAGTATGTACCATCTTTTGAAAAACATGTGTTGTAGCATGTTCTTAGTGGATCTGTTAAAACATCGTTCCTGGAGGCTCCACCAGGTACCTTTTTTCTGGTACTCGCAAAAATGCTCTAGAGCTCCATCTTATTATAAATCACGGTTTAATGAAGATTTCTGCCAACAAAAACTCAAAGAAATACGCCACAGTGTACCGAGAAAGGGTATTTCACTAGATATAACTGGGACAGAGTGTCACTGTCTGATAGAACTCCTGTGTGATAAGACAAGTATCCCACTTAATTGATCTGGGAATACCGCAGTCTTACCTGGGTCTGTTCCTTGACCAGGGACATCCCAATCTGAGTGTAAGAGTCAGCACGAGGATGTAGACGAACAAGACCCATGTTTAATTTCCTTTCTTGCATACTTCAAAAATTAGCCAATTGTAGGTTGTGGAATTTATTCATGACGTCATCGTCAATGTCGCATGAAATGTACGTCGAAATGGATGACGTAATTAATGCGTGACATTGTTACGCTACATAAAATATGACGTTAAACTATTGTGAGAAGCATTAAAGGTGTAACAGCTGTTTTTCCGTACCTTGTGTGAGACTGATAAAAAATCTTTTATGTTTGTCGGGTGTTTGACAGCTTGATAATCTTCCCTGTGGGTTGAGATTTCACCCTAAATGGGGTGAATGGTTATTTTTCTCTTACCCTGTTTTCCTTGTCCGAGTCCAAGATGAAGTATATTGATTGTAAACAAAAACATGTGGATGGCGTATGAACATTGATGATTCCGCAGACGTTTCATGCATTTTGATTAAATCTTACATGGATATAATTCTAGTGTGCATATCAATAAGACGTCAAACCTGATACTACTGATATTTCATAGATATATTTTTATAACAAGTTGTGGATTATCATGAGTTTCAATCTTGATGATAACACAAGATTTTCAGTTTTGAGGACAACACAAGATTTCAGTAGCAGACGAACTAGTGTATGTGAATGACCTCATACAAGTAGTTCCACTTCCGGGTCACGGCAGTGACGTCACTTAAATTGTTTTCAGAGCACTTGCAGCTTGTCTCGAACCTAGGGTGAGGCAGGAATAAGGATTATCAAAGCAGACATAACTGAGAAACGGTACCCCAACTGACCAAACCTAAAAAGTGCATCCAATGTGATAAAAAAAAGTTATCCTACATGTAACCACCTGACAACTTGAAAGGGTAGTCTACCTATTGGAACAGAAAAATGATAGCCAAGTTGACATCTTAAAATGGACTATCCTTCTTATTAGAACGTAAAGAATATTCCACCTGACAACTTACAAAAATTAAATGAAAATGGTATAGCGAAAGTTTATCCGCAAAAGTTATTACATTTGTGAATGTTAGTTTAGCCATGGAACTTGGTATAGTGGAGGTTGGTAAAGCGAAATAAGCAGAGTCGTGAAAATTAGTCTAGCCGCCAAAATGATTATAGGTACGAATGTTTGTAGAGTGACGATAAGTCTAGCCACCGAAATGATTATAGGTACGAATGTTTGTAGAGTGACGACAAGTCTAGCCGCCGAAATGATTATAGGTACGAATGTTTGTAGAGTGACGACAAGTCTAGCCACCGAAAGGATTGTAGGTACGAATGTTTGTAGAGTGACGACAAGTCTAGCCGCCGAAATGATTATAGGTACGAATGTTTGTAGAGTGACGACAAGTCAAGCCGCCGAAATGATTATAGGTACGAGTGTTTGTAGAGTGACGATAAGTCTAGCCGCGACAGTTATAACAGCTGCGAAAGTTGGTAAAACATGGAAAGTTAGTATAGCCGTGAAAGTTGAAATACTCGGGAACGTTGGTATAGCGAAAGTTATTATAGCCGTGAAAGTTGAAATACTCATAGCCAGGAAAACTAGGCTAGCCAACAAAGTAAGTATAGTCTCTATGGTTAGTATAGCCACGAAAGTTGGTAAAGTGAAAATTTTTATAGCTGAGACTGTTAGTAAAGCTGTGACAGTTGGAGTAGCTGCGAACATTGGCAAAGTGAAAATTAGTATAGCCGTGAATATTATTGTAACCTTTAAAACACTGACTTTCGCAGCTTTAATAACTTTCACTTGTATATTTAGTTTAGTTGTGTCAACTCTTTTACCAACTTTTTTTAGTATAGCCACGAAAGTTGGTTAATGAAAGTTAGTATTGACGCGAAAATTGGTTTACCTCCCGAAGTTAGCATAACCTCGAAGGTTGGTGTAGCTGCGAAAGCCGCGATTGTTGGTACATTTGTATAGCCGCAAAAATAGTCTAGCCACCAAAGTTAGTATAGCCGCGAACGTTTGTGTAGCTACAAAAGTTGTCATAGACACAAACGTTGGTATACACGTTATGAAAGCAAAAGTGTGTGCAGAAGCATAAATTTATAAAGACGCTAATATTAATCCAGAAGCACTTGGTTTACAGTGACATATTGCTACTAAATGCACCCCATATGCTCGTGTTTCACTCCCGATTTGCACTCGTCAGACCTCTTGAACACTTTTATCGGTCGATAAGTTTTATTCTAGGCGAATGTGCTTGATGTTTAGATATATCGAGTACAGCACGGAAACCCAGTGACGTTATATCTGTACTGTACATTTCATTTGTAAATACTTGGCGATCTCTATTTCAGAACAAACTTTTAGATATTGATTCTGTACATCTTTATACATTACATGACAACCCAGTCATAAGTACAATAACACCGAATTTCACCACACGTATGATAGCACCTAGCAGACAGTAGTTGCTTGAAGATCAACATAAGTACCATGGTGACGTCATAACTTTGTTGCGTCATATACATTGTGACGTCACCAAAGAAAGAAATATAAAATGAGAATAGCGCCATTTTATATGTTTTTATTTATTTATTTATATGATAATACTAAGACCGGTACAAAATAATTAAAATATCCGCAGATTCATTATATTAGCCTCTTTCAAATTACCAAAAGTTATAGTAATCCTCTTTACTTTTCGAGGAAAATACATTCTGGCTGCTTGTTTCGGAGCCTTCAGGAATTTATTCAGGAAATTTCCAGAACATTTCACTACACAGTACTGCAATGTACAAAATGTCGGAAAACTGGAAAAATCTGACTCTACCTTCTATGGGTAGATATGGACGCAACAGGCGTAATCTTTGCCTTATTTTGCCCAAAAACAGATGAAATATGGACTTACTATGTCAAAGATTTATCAATAACAACACCAAGTCATTTATCTCTTACAACCTGTTCCAGAGATTCATTACACGAAGTAAGATTTAAGGTTAAACGATTTCTACTTTACTTCTGTTTAGAAGCTATACACGTGCATTTTGTTTTGTTTGTTTTTTCGTTTTGTTGTGCTTTGTTTTTGTTTGTTTGGGGTTTTTTTTATCATTTACAACATATCATGTACATATATGAACATTGTTTAAATCAGATTGCCATTTGCTTTATGAAAACCAGAAATAGCAAAGGACCTAAAATTGATCCTTACACCATGTGTAACTTTACATGTTTGACGTGTGACAAGCCGCGGAAGCTAATGGGTCCAATTGTCAAGATGAGGCTAAAACCACAATATGAAGCTCAGGTTAATTTTGTAAAGAGGGAAATTATCAAGTAAAACAGTCTTCAGTATAACATTAAGTGTATAGCTAAGAGATCGGTATGAACAATTTTCAACGGCTTAGTACTTTTTTTGAAAAGAAGCCGTGTAACATTATTCAGCAGTGGAGTAAGTTTACTGGCAATCTCAAAAAAGTATTTATTAAATTAATTTGTGTTATCATTATTTTTTTCATTATAGAATAAATCATCACATCACATTCTAACAACAAATTCCTGGCTATTTAAAGCAAAACTAGTTGACAGTCCTTTGTGTAATCTGTACAATTCTGAAAGAGAATCAATAACCCATCATCTATGAGAATGCCAAGAAGTCCAAAATTTTTTACAAGCTCTGGAGACACTTACTGATGCATTATTTATACCTTTTTCTATCAACAAACAGTCTTTTTTGTTTGGAATAATAAACAATAGTCCCAGTTTTAGAGTGGATAATGAAACAATTTTAATTATCAAACACTATATATACAAAACTAGATGTCTGCATAATTCTTTAAACATCTGTTCTCTTGTTAAAATCATAAAGGACCACTTTTCTATACAAAAATACATTTCTAACAACAAAAATGAGACATATAAGCTAAAATTCACAAATGAATGGAAAAAATGGGAAAATTTTATCAAACTTGATATATAATATATGTGCTATATCTTCTTATTCATTAGTATACGTCTCGACAGAGCTGACTGATCATATTATCTTATTTACCTAAATCAAGTTAAATCAACATCCAATCCTTGTGTCTGTCTGTTTGTCTGTTTTTTGTTGTTGTCTCTGCGTCTGTGCGTAAACTGTCTGTCTGTTTGTCTGTTCTTGTTGCTGTATGTTTGTGTGTCTGTTTTTGTCTGTGCGTAAACTGTCTGTCTGCTTGTCTGTTCTTGTTGCTGTCTGTCTGTTCCAGGTCTGCCCATCTGTTTTCCCCCTCCCTTTAGTGATGAGCAGTAGGTATGAGAGCAATGTATATATGTATGTATGTGAATAAATAATGTGTATGTTATAATTGTTTGTGAATATTAAGTAAAATGAGAATTTCTTCTGGATGACTGTCGTTACGAATGATGTTGATCTGATAATGGCATTATACATGTGTGCATGAAGCTGATGACTGTTGTATGTGATAGACAATATAATAATCAAGATAATGGCAATGATTATAGTGAGGAGTGTAGGTGATAATTGAAGATAATAAAAATAGTAACTAATTTGAATGTGTGTTTGTGCAGGTCTGGGTGTGACGGTGTGTATGTGTGTGTGAGGGAGGATGTGTGTGTGAATGTCTCTTCTTTTTCTTTGTGTTATATTTTGCATCAAATTCAGAAAAATAAACAATTACAAAAAAAAAAAGAATAAATCACCAAAATGTTTTTCTTTTCCCTTCTAGTTACTCCATCCGGATGTAGAAAGAACGATGTCGATGTTGCCGTGCAGGGAGGGAAATCTATATACCACTCAGACGCAAGGTCTTGTGGGAACAGTGCAGCGTCTTTCGACGAATCCGTCCCTCTCGCATTCTGTAATATTAAAGAAGTGTCACACTGGACAATGTACCTACAGGTAATACTTCGTTAGAGACTAGACCTTGTAATTTCAACAACCCTAGTATAATGTGTCTTACTTCTCAATCAACCCTAGGATAATGTGTCTTATTTCTCAATCAACCCTAGTTTAACATGTCTTACTCCTCAATGAACCCTAGTATAATGTGTCTTACTCCTCAATCAACCCTAGTATAACGTGTCTTACTCCTCAATCAACCCTAGTATAACGTGTCTTACTCCTCAATCAACCCTAGTATAACGTGTCTTACTTCTCAATCAACCCTAGTATAACGTGTCTTACTCCTCAATCAACCCTGGTATAATGTGTCTTACTTCTCAATCAACCCTAGTATAACGTGTCTTACTCCTCAATCAACCCTAGTATAACGTGTCTTTCTTCTCAATCAACCCTAGTATAACGTGTCTTACTCCTCAATCAACCCTAGTATAACGTGTCTTACTCCTCAATCAACCCTAGTATAACGTGTCTTACTCCTCAATCAACCCTAGTATAACGTGTCTTACTCCTCAATCAACCCTAGTATAACGTGTCTTACTTCTCAATCAACCCTAGTATAACGTGTCTTACTCCTCAATCAACCCTAGTATAACGTGTCTTACTTCTCAATCAACCCTAGTATAACGTGTCTTACTTCTCAATCAACCCTAGTATAACGTGTCTTACTTCTCAATCAACCCTAGTATAACGTGTCTTACTTCTCAATCAACCCTAGTATAACGTGTCTTACTCCTCAATCAACCCTAGTATAATGTGTCTTACTTCTCAATCAACCCTAGTATAACGTGTCTTACTCCTCAATCAACCCTAGTATAACGTGTCTTTCTTCTCAATCAACCCTAGTATAACGTGTCTTACTCCTCAATCAACCCTAGTATAACGTGTCTTACTCCTCAATCAACCCTAGTATAACGTGTCTTACTCCTCAATCAACCCTAGTATAATGTGTCTTACTCCTCAATCAACCCTAGTATAATGTGTCTTACTTCTCAATCAACCCTAGTATAACGTGTCTTACTCCTCAATCAACCCTAGTATAACGTGTCTTACTTCTCAATCAACCCTAGTATAACGTGTCTTACTCCTCAATCAACCCTAGTATAACGTGTCTTACTTCTCAATCAACCCTAGTATAACGTGTCTTACTTCTCAATCAACCCTAGTATAACGTGTCTTACTTCTCAATCAACCCTAGTATAACGTGTCTTACTCCTCAATCAACACTAGTATAACGCGTCTTACTCCTCAATCAACCCTAGTATAACGTGTCTTACTCCTCAATCAACCCTAGTATAACGTGTCTTACTCCTCAATCAACCCTAGTATAACGTGCCACAGTTTTCCATCCAATCACGTATGCGTGTAATGTTTCTGAGTTTAAATTTCATTTTCAAAATATCATAAGTAGAGTGTGTTTTACTTCACAAATCCTGGAATGATAAATAAGATTGATCTTCTGTACATACAAGAACGATTTCCTTATAATTAGACAGACTTCGTGTTCCAAAGGCAAACGGTATGTTTAAGTTACGGACAATTATATAGAGTAATACTGATTACTGGTTAAAGTTTCTATACAAACACATGAGATATTTCTCAATATTTCACAGCCAAAGATATGATATTTGTGAATTTCGATATGTAATTTTTATGTTCCACCAGGTACGGTCAAACTGTGCCCAGTTAGCCTCTTATCATCCAGTCTCTGTATTTGTGAACGGGAATTTGCAAGCCGGAAGCGGAAGTGGAATATTTTTAGGATGCACAAGTTCCGGTGGTTTTAAGGTACGTGAATACATCATAAATCAATAACTGGTTTGGTTTTGTGTATATAAATAAAAATAATATTGGTGTACTAAAGTGTCACTGATGTAGATAAACAGGCTTTTTTTTAATTAGTGACGTCATCATGATACCTAGCCAATCATTGACTCTGATCGCTTTATCGTAAAGACCCGAATCACAGCGGAGACAAAATAAAAGCAGGTGTCCTAGTATATCCACCTGTAAAACACTTGTCCCAATATCCTAGGAGCATGCCTGTAAAACATGTCGTTTTGTAGAAAAAAAGAGAAGTTTCTTTTAAATAATAAATATCTTAAGAATTTGTCCGCAGCCGAAACCAATTCCAAGTCAGATTCCAATATTTCAGTAAAACGACAAAAATTCCTATCTGAAACATGGGACTTTGAGCATTCTGATGTTAGGATTATTGCAGTCTCTATTCTCCTCCAGCCTGTTTAATCAAACTCCACAGATTAGCAAAAAGCTCTTTGATGTTGATGTTTTAACCTAGAGTAAGACAATTACTGTAAATCACTTAAATTTCGCGTAGGATTCATTTTCGCGTTAATACACAAAGAGAATCAATCGCGAAATCAAATTCCTCGCGATAATTTGAACGAAAATAAATCATGTTGATCCTGTTACCGATGTCAGAGTCTTGAAAAGTCGTTGTTCTTTAAAATATCAACATTCGTGAATTCAAAATAATTTCTTTATCAGCGTTTGAGAAATAATGTATTCGCGAATATGTCTGAACAGATAAGTTCGCGAATTAAAATATTATCGAAATCTAAGTGTCTTACAGTATATAGTTAAAAGCCTTATCACAGCTATTCGCACATACCTTTTCTTCCTGCAGCTTGCCCGGCAGACCTGCGCCAGCGGTAAGATGGAGGTTGTGGAGATCAACCCTGGTGGTACAGGAGTATTTGACAATGTCGATAACTATTACGTCATCCAGTGAGCTATGTACCAACCTCTTTAAGTTAGAATGGAATAAAGTGGGTCATTCAATCTATTTCTCTTGGATATTTTTTCATCCACAAATAGATATCTTCTAAACAAACTTGTTACCAGAAAAATCGCACAGGTGATATTACAACGGCACGATTTGACCCTGTACTTTTAAGTCCACTAGTAGTGACCACGTGACCCCCAGCATGTATGTATTATCAACATTCAGCTAACAAAACTGTATAAAGTCGATAGGAAAAGAAATTTACAATAGTGTTATACTTTTTATAACGACTGTCCAAAAAGGCGTTAAAAAGTCTAGAAAACTGCACTACTCTTGAATCAATGGTTAGACATTTTTGATCCTGTGCATTGTTTTTTGTCTGAGATAGCCTCTCGTATGTTCAATTCGGTCCATGTCTGGTGGTATTGCAAACCACGGGAATGTCTCTAGCACTTCTTGTTGAAGAAAGTCTTACACTAGGCGGGTTCTGTGTGGTTTGGCATTTTCATCCATCTGGCTATCGAAATGCGGAACACCGTATATCTTCCATAAAGGGCATGCAAGCAAAGTTTAGACAAAAAAAACACTACGACGCCACCACCAATACCAAATAATGTCGTGCCAGTTTCTTTGTCTCAAAAACACGCACCCTGCCGTCCATTGGAATAAGTAAAACCTAAGACCTAATATTCTAAAACTGGTGGTCACGTGCCCATTGAAATCTTGCTTGTTTTTCCTTCTTGTCTATAGCGGACTTGTCTGATGAAAGCAAAGTCACCTACCTTTCAAACGTTTGTTGACGACGTTCCACTGTCCTCTGAGCCTGTTGACAGTGGTGAATGGCGATCGCCTTGTCAGTCTACATAGATGTATATAAAGTCTATTTTGTTGTCTTTAGAGGTCTGCCATACCGGGGATGCTTGTCAACATGCCCGGTTTTGTTCAGGTGCTGCATTAACTGTGAAATAACAGATAGTATTTTTGAAATGACATTGGTTTACCAGTGATCCACGTATAAACGAAGCTTTAGACTATATATGCTAAACCAAAGTTTTGTTTTGTTAGAGTATCGGGTACAACAGTTTCATCCGAGTTAGTGTACAGCTGGGATTATCGCTTGGTGGCCTACCTCACTAAACACGAAAGGAGATATTGCAATGAGTACGACAAGGTTTATTCTGACTGAAATTTCCATACTGAAATTAATGACAAGGATATATTTATAAATATATAGAAAGGTAACGAACTTCCGACATGTTCTAGCGAACGTGTAACGAAGTATCTTCCGACCTCGCCAAATCAGGCAATGTCAGCAAGTCAATTCATTACTTTGTATACCGTTACAAATCTCATTCATGGTTCATCGTTAAAAAGAAAACTCCTGTTTTTATTTGCATGCGTGTCATATTGATACCTGGAGCAGTTTTGGAAATATCTGCCAAAAACGACATAACCTTATCACTCGGCATATCGGAGGTTTGGAACCTTTCACTAGTCACATTTCTGGACATATAGCTACACAAAATGAACTCATATTCCACCATACATTTATATATTTAACGGGCTTGTGTGTCCCCAAACATGGTCCGTCCGTCTGACTTTGATCACTTCCACACACCGCGTGTAAAGAGCTAACGTTGACCAAAACAAAAATTCTTGGTTGGCGTGTGCGTGCAAGTAAAAACTAATTTTTGAAAAAAACAATATTCAGAACAATCAGGAATACCCAAGAACAAACGAAGAAGAAGACAAAGGACAAGTGACCAGGTATCTTGTGGCCAGTATTTGACCAGGATTACAATACTTAGCTAATTTGATCTTTAGAAATATCACCTGAGCAATGAGTGAATTGCAAATAGTGTAAAACTTTATGAAGCCCTTCATAATGATAATGATTTTATCCGATAGGACCAGAACACCATTTGTTGAATATTGAGTTATATTTTGTTATTTCATTAATTAAGAACAAATCAGAAAAAATGTTAATAATTTTTGTTTATTATTTTAAATTCTCTTACTGAATCAATCATCTGACAAACATTACACAATAAGATGCTATTGATATGGCTATGTAACTAGCTACTGCTGTTCATTGCAGCTTTGAAAAATTCATTCCATTCCTGAATAAAATCCAGATTTATGTAGATACAGAAACAGCTGACGGCTTATACTACATTAAACCGTATCCTGTTATAATTATTGCTGTTTCGGCTCCTCTGTGAAGTTAGCGATAAAAAGGACGACAACCTAGAGGAAAATCAATCTTTCATCAACATTATGATAGAACAGTAAATTAATTGGATAATTTCATCATTTTTAAATTCCTCTGAAATTAAATAATTTAAAAAGAATGTGGAGTTGAGAGATACAAATTGAACAATCACAATATGGACAGAATCATCAGACGCGGAGGATTTCGGAGATCATTTCTAACTTAAATATGGAAATTTAGGCCGTTTACAAGAGCCTGGGTAAGTTAATAAACATCCTTTTCTATTTGTTTACTAAATTATCTCCCCTTGCTGTGCGTCTCTGACCGAGGCGTCAGTCTAATGAAATCGAAATTTGTGTTTAAGGGAGTATGATTAGATGCACAGAGATAACAAAACAAACAAGAGTAATTAAGTAGTGTATTATCTTCAAAGCATTAAGTAATAAAAATCCATAATTAATATCATTATAATAAATATAAGCATAATAAATAATTATAGATAATTAAGTCTATACGCTTTTTAATTTCGAGTACTGTTGGTGATCAAACAAATCAAAGTTCCTCGTGACAGTCGGTGTCATTTAACTCACAACGCAATCATATTTATAATTGTTGTTTAAAGAAAATAAATAAACCACACGTCGATCAAACTCTATCCGCGTTTTCATTGGCTGTCAGGAGGAACTTTGTTTTGTATGAATGGTAGAAATAAAGGACCATGCTCTGCTAAAACAGTACTTAATTTTTTTAAATACCTTATTTTCTACAATCTGTATATTTAACATATTTTAAAATCATTTTCCTTAAAAACATTTTAAGAACATATACTAACAAGAAATATGTGCGACTTTTAATGGAAAATAGGGTCCGAACCCAGATCTGAAAAGTCATAATAAGTTGACTCAATAATACGCTTTGAAAACCTAATGTGTTTGGTACAAATAGGAATCCGGGTTTATACTAAAGAATGAGTTGTTAAAGAAGAGATCATACAGGCCTGAAGAAAGTTGTCTTCATTTGAGATTTACCATTCTTTTTCTAAATTCCGAATACTTTTATATATATAAATGATGATAAAATAAAATATCAGAAAGTATTTCTTGAAGAAAGTTCGTGGATTTTTTACGTACAGTCTCCATAATTCACTTGCATACTTGTGATATGGAGTGGATAACCTGCGTCCGATCTGTTTGTATATCATAATGCAATAAAACAGGTTTAATTTCAGAGTCAATTTTTGTTGCCGTAGTAAAAAGTACTAATACATCTTCATGGAAATGAGCGATTCATTTTCTGGTATCAAAGCAATAAATTTGACAGGACATAAAGCAATTATGATCTTTATTGAACCTCTAACACTTTAGGTCAGTACGAATCTTATCTTTATACTATATTTGTATGTTACTTTAGTGAAACACCAGGTCACTGATAAGACTTCATACGAAGACACGCCTGATAGGTAAGTTAGAAACTTCTCCGTCCGAATTTATCCTGTTTGTTTACATATAACAGTCATTGAATTGAAAATATCTCCAAAGAAAAGGAAACTATTTAAGGCATGTATCGGTACTTGTTTATCATTTTGAATTTTAAAAATAAAAACACGTATTAATTTTACAATCTAATTACTCATATTGCTTCCCTGAATTGACTAATTGATATTAAGCGTAAGAATTTGTAAACAATCTCTTGTAATTTTCCGCAAAATTGGAAGCGGTTATTACAATTTTCTTTTTTTTTCAAGACCTTCAGCTAGATTCTGAAATACTGTTACATCAGACACATTTCATGATAATGAAATCTGCAAGAAACGAAATCAAAACCAGGATTATAACTGACATATAGAGATGATGATAATAAACGATATGAGGATGGACTAAGAATATAACTGAGGTGCTGAGATGATGATAATAAACGATTACAGGATTAAGAACATAACTGACATATAGGGGTGATGATAATAAACGATATGACGATAGACTAAGAATATAACTGAGGTGCTGAGATGATGATAATAAACAAAATACGGACAATGAATATATAACTGACGTGTTGAGATGATGATAAAAAACGATTATAGGATAGACAAAGAATATAACTGAGGTGCTAAGATGATAATAATAAACAATATCAGGGCTAGGAATATAACTGACATACAGAGATGAGAATGAGGATAATAAACAATAATTGGACAAAGAAAACTAGCTGACGTGTTGGCATCATGATAATAAACGATGTCAGGACAAGGAATGTAAAATTAACATGTTGATGTGATGATAATAAACGAAATCGGGACTAGGAATATCAGTTAAAACAAAATATATATATAATTTTTTTGTTTTCATACTTTGAAAGGATGATAATACTTTTCCTTGTGAGTTTGCTCGGAGTGGGGATTAAAGCCGATTTTAAATGTATCTGCAATGTAAACCATCCAAATTTGCCTATCTTGAAATGTCCCAACTTCCAATCCCCGGTCAACAGCTTCATGTACCCAAAAGATATCAACAACAACTTCCATGGTATTGTGGACACGTCATCACCCACATGTAAACCTATTAGTAAAGGAGTGAAAACGATTCCTGGCTGGGTTGCTGTGGACGATGCTGACAGGGTATGTACTATTAACATATTTATTTATGTAGATATACAGCTGTTGTTTGTAATGTCAATATATATATACATAATGCACTTTATTGTTTCATTATTGTACTTACATGCCAGTAAATCAGTATGACGTCATTGTATACCACAGGTGAAATCTTACTTTGGTTTTCACAGGTTGGGTTTATAA